TTCCAACTCCTGAAATTCTATGATTCTGTGACCATGGGAAAACCCAATTATGACTGAGACGAGCTCTGCAGGTCAGATGTGTTGCCCCATGCTACCATCTACTGCTTGTTTCCTGTATTTGGTAGAGGACTGTTTGCAGTAACCTGGCCCAGTGGATAAAGGGTATGCTTACCTCGCTCAGTGCCACGAGGGTACTGAGTGTGATCCTTCCGCCAAAAGGATTTTCTGGATGTCCTCAGGACACTGTCATAGGTATTCAGACCAGCTAGGAAGAAGAAATAAAGAATGCTTCTGGTGCATAAATAGAAAAGAAGCTTTGCCAGACATCCCTAGTGTATATGCTGTAGCTTGGTGCACCACAGGCGGCTTCTGAACTTGGTATGAGCACGTGCACTTTGCCAAAGTGCTCGGTTACAAATGGTTTGGTGCTTTTCCATACCCAAAACTGCTGTAATGTACTTTTCATGGAGGTTTAAATTCAGAAGCTGACTTAGTTGCTCTGCATGTTAAACTACATGGCAACTGTCTTGTACAGAAGCTGAACTGTCAAGCTACTACAAGCATAAAATTTAAGTGTCAGCATACTACTATGAAATGGCTCGGCTCTGAGCCCAGTCTGTTGGGTGCATGTGAATGTATGGCCCTTCTGAAGTTAACAGAACCACAGAAGAGGTAAACTGCTGAATGTGGGTTCTGGAAGCATAGTAAAATATAGCTGTAATTATGATCTGTTAAATAACAAACTAAAAACAATTATAACAGAGTCTCCATTTTTATTTTTGTCAACTATGTGACTTTAATACATACTATGGGTACAAGGTACTGTATTTATAAACTATATGGTCTAAATCCTGAATCTGTCTTAAGCCTCTAAATGATTTATGTTTAAACCATTTCCTGCAATTAAGAATGTGAAACTTGAGATTTTAAAAATGAAGTTATTCTAAAAATTCATGCAAATTCTTTCTCTTTCTGAAGAATTCAGGCATTGAAAAAGCTTTTCTCTTCGATGTAGTCAGCAAAATCTACATTGCAACAGACAGTTCCCCTGTGGACATGCAGTCATATGAGTTGTGCTGTGACATGATCGATGTAGTGATAGATGTTTCCTGTATATATGGGTAAGTGATGAATACTTTCAGCAAGAAAGGTCTTCAAAAGTTGTAGAATGTGTTGCAAACTGCAAATTGTGCTGTCTTTGTGATGCAGCGAGGTGCTATCGATTGGTCTTTAGAGCCCATTGGTTCTATAAGTAGCTAGAATAAAGCCAAATGATTTGGCAGCTGAATCAAGGATTTATATGTGGTTTGTTTCCCTCCACTCATGGCCCTAGACAGCCGTCTGACATTTGTAAAAGTCATGTTTCATGTAAAATACGAATGCTACTGTGTCTCATTTGGCATGGTGGGTGCAAATATGTTAATACCTGCAAATAACTGGGATCAATAGCGTGCCGTAGCTCGTAAGCGTAACTTGCAGTGACTTCACTCTGAGACTTGCTGTTATCTGAACAGAGTAGCTTTTGCAAGGTCAGCTCATCTCTTGCTGACTTCCTCTGAGTGATGCATGTAGTGCTTATATCTTACAATTTACAGAAGAATTATAGCTCACAATGGATTTTTGAAGTCATTCTGGAGAAGCTGTAACTTCTCTTAGAACTGTGGTTGTAGTCTGGAAAATACAGTGCTGCCAAGGAACACAACATTTAACTGTTGCTAACTATCTCCTAATGGGTCAATCCAGGGTTGTGTAGCCGTTTGTTTGGGTTTTTTCCAGGAGTGCTTAGAAGTATATATATGCGATATATCTTTAGCTTCTATAGTAATTTAACTAACACTAATAACCTGCAGACAGAAAGCAGCACACTAATCTTGTCTTGTAAATGCAGGCTGGTTTAGTTTAAGATCAAAATGTGTCCTGCTCCCTGTTGCATTCTCTGGCCCAGCCTTACTAAGGAAGCCTTTGTATTAGTTTACCAAAAGTAATTTCGCTGAGATGCCACTCCATTGACATCAAAAGTGCATGCTTATAGCTTGCTCTTCACTGCTCATCTAAGGTAGATGGTATCTAATGAAGGCCTTTACTCTGTTTAGCTCTAGCTTTCCTGAGAAACTTAAGGTGTGGTAATGGTCTTACTCAACGATAGTATTAAAACCTGCATTGCAGGTTCTTCACTTGCTCAACATTCAGTATGAGTAACATTCTTCTAACTGCATTTAACAGGTATTTGCCTTGCAGTTACATATGCATGCCTATTAGATTATGCCTTGGGTTAACTCCTCCTTTTTTAGGTTAAAAGAAGATGGCACTGGAAGTGCTTATGATAAAGAGTCAATGGCAATTATCAAGCTCAATAACACAACAGTCCTGTACTTAAAGGAAGTAACAAAGTTTTTGGCATTAGTTTGCATTCTTAGAGAAGAGAGTTTTGAGCGCAAAGGTAAGGACATCCCCACCATTAGGTGGCTTTTTATCTACTGGGTTTTTTTATCAGTTATAAAATATTAATATGACTTTACAAGTCACCTTGATTTTCGTATAACTAAATTTGTGTAATTTCTTCTGGGAGGAATTTTCTTCTTTCTTAGAGGTAAGTATAATGAGGTCTTTTTTTTTGCTTGTTTGGTTTTGAGCGCAAAGGTAAGGACATCCCCACCATTAGGTGGCTTTTTATCTACTGGGTTTTTTTATCAGTTATAAAATATTAATATGACTTTACAAGTCACCTTGATTTTCGTATAACTAAATTTGTGTAATTTCTTCTGGGAGGAATTTTCTTCTTTCTTAGAGGTAAGTATAATGAGGTCTTTTTTTTTGCTTGTTTGTGAAACATCCTTACTGTCCTCCTAAATGACTTGTAGCTAATGTGACCTGTATCACTACCATCTGCTCCAGTGGAATCAGTAGAGTAATGAAGTAATGGTCCCCTTACCTGCTGTTTAATTATGAATATACACCTTGCATTCAAAATGAGTAACTTTTTTTTTTTTCAAAAACCTGAGACAGTCCAAATAAATAGTAGCATCAGTAAAACTTTATTAGATTTTTTGAGTTCCAGTTCATACTAAAATAAGTAGCAAAATACCTATTGGTTAAATGTAACATTTTGTATTGATTTTGAAGCTCTGTTGTTTACATAAATATGCCAAGCCAAAAGCAGTTTTATCTCTCCCCACTCCTCTTCTTGACAGGTCTGATAGACTACAATTTTCATTGCTTCCGCAAAGCCATTCATGAAGTCTTTGAAGTAGGTGTTGCCTCCCACAGAATCTGCAACCATCAATCAAACACCTCAAATATGAAAGCAGTGACTCACAATGGCACACCTAGGAATGCAGTCTAGAGGAAAGCTAAAGACCTTGGATAGACTTGTCAGCTCTTCACTCCAAAGTTTTGTGAAACAAGAGGAGTAGTCTGAAAGCCTGAAGAGGAGAAGAGTGGTGCTAACTGTGGAACAGCAGCTTGTAACTCATGTTGGACAACTGAAACTACTGTAAAAATACTTTGAGGCCAGTGGAGTCAGAAATGCCAGTTTGAAACCAGCGGTATTGCAAGTACAGTAGTTTTTCAGTTTGGAGTCCTATTTTAACAGTCTGTCTCTGACTGATTGCCTGGTCAAAACAAAAATTATTGAGTTGAGTTTTGTGTTAAACACTGAATAGTCACTTGCTCAACTTCTTTTTTATTATTTTTAATTAATCTGTAGATTATCCACTTTTGCTTAAGTTTCCCTTTTTGTCATACAAAAAAAATAATCGGTGTGAAACTCAGGCTTTTTGTTTGGTGAGGCTGGTCTCACAAATCATTCCATTAAGTAGTTCTTGCTCTTGCTGGTGTGCTCACAGTATCCTTGTGAATTCTCTGCTTGTTAAGTGGATGCAAGGTAGAGCTCTGTTCTAGTGATTGTGTTTGTTTGGAGAACTGACCTGGAGCTTCATTATAAGAGATTGTGATACTTTGCTTTCAGACCACACTTCTTGGTATGTCCCCTTTGATGGAAAGGAAGTATTAAAATCAGAAATAAACTACCTGCTCTCTTTTGCAAAAACACGGATGTCATAAATCTCTGTGATTAATCCTATTTGTGAAACAACTGCATGGCTAGCTAAACTGTCTGCCATCTGTTCGAATAAAGCAACCACTTTCAGCTATTCCCAAGCAAAGAAATGACAAAGTTACTGACTTTTGATGGTGGATCTCTTTCCGTGCTGGCTGATAATCAAGACAATTCCTAGGAAAATGTCCGAGGGTGTTAACTCTGTATGGTAATTAAGTATCAGTGTGCCCTAACCTACTAATAATACTGGACTTTGAAAGTATGTTGATTCTGTATTATGACAAACACCTTGTTTGTCACCATGCAATCTGACTAGAATAGTGTTTTCCTGATTTTGTGAATACTGATTTTTGTACTATGGGCAGTATATCTGAATTCTTTTACTCTAATTTATTGGTATTGGTATTATTACTGCAGATGTCATCAGCCTTGCTATGCAGGAAGCTCAGCTACTGGTCCATAACAATCTTGCCTCTTTTTACCTGTCCCTATGTGTGTATAGATGTTGCAAAGCCATTGGACCAACTGACTCTGCAAGTGCCACTATAAATTTTTGCAAGAAGAACTGTAACTGTAAGCAATCTCTGCAACTGCTGTATTTATGTGGTCAGAAATAACCATGGGATTGCTTCTGTGCTTATAGGATGAACTGTCATTGAACTATGTAAAAATGAATATACATGCATTAACATTAGTGTGTATGCACATATTGTGTAAATGTGGTTTTTTACAGCAGGAGACTTTGGAATTCAAGTGCTCTAGGTCAGTTCTCTTAAAACTAGGCTGAGCCCTTTTTTGGTAATAGAACCGCAGAGGTTTTTTTAAAGAAGTGCTGCAAGCTTGTAAGATTGGGTTTTGTAGTTGACAAGCTCTATCACAGCATTCTAATACAATAGGTAAGAGGAGAAGTAATGGGAAGATCACCGAAAGAAAGAAATTCCATTTGTGCAGTGAGTTTTCCATGGTCTAAATACATGTATATGTTCTCTCTGTTTTCACCTACTACATGATTTTGTGCTAATAAAGTGAAAAAAAAGTCAAACTGTAACACTATTATTTCTGCTTGTCTTTATAGACAAAAAGTCTATAAAGGCCTATATGGTTAAGCAAAATTTTTAAAACTATGTGTTGTGTTCATAGAATCATCAAGGTTGGAAGAGACCTTTAAGATCATCAAGTCAACTGGCCACCTAGCACTGCCCTAAACTACTAAACCATATCTTCCAGTGCCAGATCCAGACACCTCTTAAACACTTCCAGGATTGTTGATTCCACCACCTCTCTGGGCAACCTATTCCAACGCCTGGCCACCCTAACAGTGAGAAAAAATTTCTAATAGCTAATCTGAATTTCCCCTGTCTCAGCTTAAAGCCATTTCCTCTAGTCCTCTCACTGAAGACATGGCAGAAGAGACCAGCCCACACCTCACTACAACCTCCTTTCAGGTAGTCATGGAGAGCAATGAGGTTACCCTTGAGTCTCCTCTTCTTGAGACTGAACAAACCCAACTCCCTCAGCTCTTCCTCATCAGACATGTTTTCTATACCATCCAGAAAGGTTTTCTACCCATTGAAAAATCCACCCTTCCAAGCCGTGAGCAGCCAGTTTTTTCAGAATGCTGTGGGAGGTGGTGTCAAAATCTTTACTGAAGTTCAGATAGACTTACATTCACAGCCTTTCCCTCATCCACTAACTGGGTCACTTTGTCCTAGAAGATCAGGTTGGTCAAGCAGGACCCGCCTTTCTTAAATCCATGTTGGCTGGGCCTGATCCCCCAATTGTTCTGCATGTGCCATATAGTGGCACTCAGGATCATCTCTTCCATGACCTTGCCCAGAACTGAGGTTAGGATAGAAGATCTGTAGTTCCCTGGATCATCCTTCCAACCCTTCTTGTAGACGTTTGTTATATTTGCTAATTTCTAGTCAGCTAGAACTTCTCCAGTTAACCCAGACTGCTGGTAGATGATTTGAGAGTGTTTTGGCAAGTTACAGTATATATTTAAAAAGTTAAATGCCACATTCCCATGCAAGGCTTTAAAAATTTTAGTCAGCTGTAGCTTTCATCTCAATTAAAAGCTGACTCCAAACTGAACACTCAGTTTTCAGGTTAATTGTAATATCTCAGAATACTGTCTTCACTATTATTGGCACAACACTAGCTTTAAAAGTTAAATTTGTCTCTAGTAAGGAGCACAATATTTCTTTGGTTTATTAGAACAAGTGTCCTTAAGTCAGATGCTGCTATTCAAGTAGAGTGTTATTTAACCTATTGTTGCTTAAGTAAGGCAGTTTTTGGCTTCTGAAATCTTTATGGTGTGAGGGAGGGGCAAGGATAGGAATTATGGTTTCTTTTGTCCCATGTGCAAGGACCTCTCTCCCCTTCCCGTGCTGACATGCTGTGGGGGAGAAATCCTATTAGAAATAAGGGAAGGCAATATCACAATCTCTCCAAGAAAGAACTGAAACTGTAAAAGAGACCATCAGCTAGTGCTTCAGCTAACCTTTTTCTTAACTCCTCTGAACCTGTAATGGTACAGATATTCTGCAGTCTTTTTTGCAAACAACTGAGGATGCATGTGTCTAAGGAGAAAACAGTGCAGAACGGCGAGGGCGCAGGGAAAACGGTGAGCTGCCTGGAGAGGAGAAGGAATCTCTTAAAGAATAAAGCATACCCTTGCAAGGTACTGTTCAAAGCTTCGCGTTGTCTGGCGCCAGGGTGTTGCTGATCACGGGCTGACTTTCCAGCTGACAATCACACCAGCTGTAGCACAGGTGAGGGAAGAGGGGGTAGAGCAATCAAAGATGCTGTCTCTCTGCTGGCCTGAACGTTTAAATCCGCTCATCGCTTGGCTGGGAGACTGATCGGTCTTTCGTCCCTTCCCGTCAGACCTCCCCAAAAGTCCCGCGTCGCTGAGTACCAGTGTCTCACGGGCAGCGGCTGCGAGCACGAGGAGCAGGAGGCTTAGGGCAGCGGGAAGGGAAACGCGGGGAGAGCTCACGTGGCCTGGCGGCCCGCGCCGAGCTCCTCCC